CAGAATGAAAGAATTCTCTCTCTATCCTCATAGGAAGACTATTATCCTTTAGAAGGGGATCACCCACTCTTTCCTTCCTCTAAAGGCATCCATCCCTATTACTTCTACAATGATTTCAGGCTCCCTAAAGATGTTATGTCTTCAGACTTCTACAAAGACTTTCTAAAACTCCTTGAACTTCCCCAGTGGCAGTGCTGCCTATCAATAGACGAACCAAGCCCTCTGAAAATTTCATTTCTCTTGACAAAGACCCTCACATGACTGCCCAAGAAGCAGATTTTGTCACACACTGACAGAACACATAGCGAACACTATACCAGGAAGAACAGGTCTGCACAGATCAGAGTGGTCCTGTTAGTATGCTTAGAGGGGATATTTACATAAGGACTCCTGTAATACATACCTTAAAGAAGCACTGTCAAGGTTTATCTATTTAAAAAAAACCTCTAGTTCAAGGGTATTTTTCCATAATAATTAGCTTCTCAATTATCCCATTAGAATTAGATTGGTGGTGATTTCACCAGATTCCCACCCTTAATCTAACCAGAGTCTGATATTGAAATAGCATCTTGTTTTATCTACCAAGAATATAAATACTAAAGGCAAATTTTATTCTTGGATACCTAAGTATGACTCCCACAGAATTCAATATACATTAAGTACATGTGTCTTGGAACAATAGGGCCTAAGGCCTAGATCTTGAAAGTTGCTTTGCATGACCCAGAGTGCACATGAAACTCCACTGAACTCAACGAGACTCCATGCATAGAAGCTGCCTGGACAGATGCTGCAGTTTGATATTATTCTACATTTCATAGCGACAAAAAAACCTTTTATGAAGTCTCTTGTCTTGCTCTATGCAGAATAGAGCCTCTTAAATTTACAATGATCCATATCGTACCCTGTGTCATTGTACTCGAGTTTTATTTTGTCTCCCCAGAAGCTAGTCAGAATCAACTATTATTTTGGAAAGGGAGAAAAAAAAGTGGCCAAATTCAGGCCATAAGCACATTTATCATAACTTCTGTTACAGGTTAATATAGATTCATTCAGATTATCTGCTGCCCCGTGCTCTGCTCTCTCAGCAGATTAGTCTATCCAGGGACAGGAAAAATCTGTGAGAGACATGGGGAGGAGTGATCAGAGGATATATTCACTAATCAAGCTTTATATCCTAAGCCTGCAAAGCTTTAAAATATCAATATACTAGGCCTGTAGGGATGGGTTGGTTACAGAGGACCCAGGTCTGTGGGGTAGTCGGGTAAGGCGCTCTGCCCTACAGTCAGCCACGGTGCTGCTCCTGGTCCCTCTTCTCCCTGAGCTCCAGTAGGAGTGGTATCCCTGAATCCGAACCCCACTCCTACCTCGGGGCTCTCAGCTTTGTGGACCTCCTCAGGCTGGCATGATGATGCCAGCAATGGCAGTGACTGTGGGATCTGTGCCCAGCTGGGGTAGTTGAGTTGCTTCCCTACTATTAATGGCAGGTGCCAACACCAAGTTGCAACAGCACTCACTCAAATTTGGCTCAGCTGCCCCTCTGTCATGACGCAGGGGTGACCCAGCCAAACCCGAATGGCCCTGTAACCTATGCACTAGGTCACAATGCCACTCACTCAAATTTGTCAGCTGCGCCTCTGTCATGACAGAGGGGCAGCCAGGCGAAACCTGAGATGGGGCCCCTGTGGAAGTGACCAAGTGCACATTGGAGTCCGGTGGCATCTTTAAGGTGCCACCGGACTCCTTGTTGTTTTTGTGGATACCAACCTACACGGCTACCCCCTGATAAGTGCACATTGGTTAATCTGGGCATCATTTCTATGAGTGCAATTTAACCCATGAAGCCACACTAAAGCTATCCCTCATCTTTCTGTACAAAAATAACAGATTTCCCTCTATCCAAAACTCAGAGCTACAGGACAAAAAATAACAATTTAGTAAATTAAAAAAATACCTCCAACGAAAGACTGTTACTAATTGCTTAGAAGCGCTTTCAACTGATATAGGATCAGACATCCTGAATCAAAGGGGGGTGGGGTGGGGGGAGAGAGATGCTGAAGAAGCCTCAGCCAATATACATAAAAACCTCTGATAACAGGAAACTAGCCAAGATAGTGCCATTATCTAAAAAAAAAAAAAAAGAGAGCAAAGAACAGAACAAAAAATTCAGTCCAATTATTTTTAACTTCAACCTTAGAGAAAGTATTATCATCTATTTTAAGAGATCAATCGGGAGTATTTATTAAAATAGTTCAGGTTTCTGAAGCATTGTTGGTTTTAATCACCTATTATTTTCTAACTTGTTTGAGTTCTTTAAGAATAAAAGCTACCAAGAGAGATAAAAGGACTCCACTGAATATTCTTTGGTCAGGAAACTTGCTTGAGAATATTTCACATTTGAGGTTAGTGACTCAGGTGCAAAAAAACCACAGAATAGGAGGACTGAGGAGATCAAGTCGAATTTAAGAGTTAGAGAATGAGAGATACTGTCTCACCTAAACCTTCCACTTACTTCCTGAAGAATAACTTTAGAAACCTTGCGGCGAGAGCTTAAGGTACTGAAATAAATGAAGAACACCTGAATTTTCTCAAGATTTTCTAAAACATCTACAGAGCTTGAAGCACCTTCAAATGAACCTGAAACAGAGGCTAAGAATATGGACGTAATATGAATATTATTTATACTATATTTGTATAGCACCAAAATGTCAAATTTAGCTTTACAGAGATTTCATAACAAAATGGTCCCTACCCAAGGATGCTCACCATCTGCATCAGACAAACACAGCAAATGAAAACAGACAAATGAAAGGGATAGGGGAAAACAGTGCCAGAGATGAACTAAACAAAATTAAGGGTATGGACTCCTATATGATCTTCAGTCAATATTTTCAGGTCTGATCTGAAATCCCTGCTTGTGAAAAAAAAAAAAAAAAAAAGCGCATTAAGGACTTGATCCAAAGCAAAGCCAACAAGAGTCTTTCAACTGGTTTCAGTAGGCTTTGGTAAAGGACTTGAATGGCATTAAGGAAATTGTACTGAAACCTTGGTGGAAAGTAGAAGCAGAATAAGTAATGCAAATCTTATTGCCAAGAAACTATAAGAAATCCCCCCAGACAAGCCATCCACACACTAAACCAAATGCTGGAACCAATTACAAAATATTCTTTAAGTGGGTTAAAGAGTGGTTGGAAGAGATTTCTAGAAATAAAATAATGTAACATTTTTTTTCCTCCTGAGCCCCACCCCCACTGCACAGTCGTTTAGAAATTTGCTGGATCCTACAAGAAACAAACTGCCTGAGAACAGTAAAATACATTCTTTTTCTATTCTCCTCTCCTTTTTGGATTAAGAAGTGATTCTGGACAGAACGCTGACCTTGTATATGCCCATTGCTATGCATCTCTCATGTGCACATGTCGCCAGATAACTGTACATGTGCACCTGAGTTCTGAATTATGGCCTCAGTATGGCCTTTGTGGATCTATCATTACTGGATTTTTAAAGTGTAGATGCATTTTTTAAAAGAGATTAAGTCTACACTATGGAGGCTAACCCTCACAGCTATGTCGGCATAGCACCATTGTGTAAGCACAACCTACACTGACAGAGGGGTTTTTTCCCTGTTAATATAGGAACACCACCTCCCTGAATGATGTTAGCTACGTTGATGGAAGCACTTTTCTACTGACATAGCTGTGTCTGCACGGGCGGGGGTGGGGAGGGGGGGCGTCAGCATTGCTACATTAGTCAGGTGTGTGGTTTTTTTTCCACAGTCCTGACCAATTTAGGCGTGCATATTTTGATGGGGCAAGGCCAGATGGCTACAGTAAAGTAGTGAGGAACAGGTATGTTAGCCCCAGGCTAAACAAATCCCTGGTACCATGGTAACCAAATGGCAGTTGCTCCAGGTTAATCAAAACACCTGGGGCCAATTAAGATCCTTCTAGAAGGCAGTGGAGATAGCTAGATTGTTTGGGACACTTGAAGCCAATCAAGGGCTGGCTGGAACTAGTTAAAAACTTCTCAGTTAGTCAGTGAGGTGTGGGTGTCAGGAGTTATAGGAGGGAGCTGTGCTGTTGGAGGAATGAAGCATATCAGGTGCAAGGAAGGAGGCCCTGAGGTAATGGTGAAGGAGATATTTAGTGGGGGGCTGCTGTGGGGAAGTAGCCCAGGGAATTGTACATGTCCTATTTCCAAAGTCAGCTACCATAGCTGCTAATTTTAGGGTCCCTGGGCTGGAGCCCGGAGTAGAGGGCGGGCCCAGGCTCCCCTCTCCCCTCCCTGATTAATCACTGAGACTGGGAGACAACAGAGACTGTGCGAGGGAGGGTTGCTTCTCCTCACCTCCCTTGTTGGCTTATGATGAAAATGGCTCAGTAAGCTGTGATCCTTGCCTCTAGAGAGAGAAGGGCTATGTGGACGGTTACAGTGAGCTCCTGAAGCTAGCAAAATCCGCCAGGAAATGCAGGACCCATGGAGTCAAGGACAGAACTTTGTCACAATATATAAATGTCAAGCCTTCCACTTAGATCTAAAGTCACAAGGAACTGCAGGATGTTTCAGCTACCACCACAATAAAAGCATAAGTAGAGTGGCTCTATACACAATATAGGAAACAGCAAGTGGTCTATAGTCCCCACTTCTACATCGTCAATTCTAAAATTAACTGTCACAGCAACAGGAATCCAAATCTTCATTTACAATGCAGATAATCTTCTAGTTCACATTGTACACTTGCAACAACTGAGCTGCTGATTTACAGTTTGTTGCAGTGAACTTCTAACATGATGGATAGTCAGGGTGCATAAAACATTTGTGATGTGCACTGGCACCAAATAGTCAGGGAACAGCACAACTTCAACGTCTGCTTCATTGCTCATTTTTATTTCCCCCAATAGCCTAAAGCCAGACTGCTAATATTAGTTTATGCTTATTCTTGAGCCACAAATAGCCATACAGCCGACTAAAGCTATCTTTAAGCAAGTTGTTCATTGACTTACTTTCAACAGATTTTAAATAAGAGTTCCTTGAGGCATGTATCAGATGGGCATTATACTGCTGGTTTTCGGTGAGGAAAATAGTCCATTTTTGCCACGGTAGAAGGTGTGAATAAGTGAAAATATGTCCCCTGAGAAATCTGAAAAAGAAAAGACTGTACATTAATCATCTTCCTTCCTATGCACAGTTTGAATGATACCAATTATCAATGCATTTAAAAAAGTCAGCCCTACCCTCTGATATTAGGTGCCCACCATATAGCACTGACATTGATATTGACACACAGCTATTTGCATGGAAAAAGCAGATTAGCTGGGTATCCCTCTGCCTGTGCACACAGGTGGGAGTTCTGAATGCACAAAATGGGTGCAATGTTCACTTAGGCAGGCATGAAAAAAAATCAGTGAAAGCCTTAAAGCGAGGTAAAAACAACATGAATTAATTTTTTGCGGTCAAATTTTCACCTAGGGTTAAGCGGGAGGGCAGAAGGACACGTCGTAACATTTCAGGGAAGTGAAATTATGAGAAGAGCAGCCGTAGGGGAGGGTTTTTGAGGGTGAGACGTTACCCATCACCAGTCCTGTTGGAGAGGAATGTTAGGAACCATTGTCGTGCTGAGCATCTACTCTAGCAGTAGCATGTAGGATGGTAAGTAGTATGAGCACTGAGATACAGCTTCTGCCCAAAGCACCCAGAGTGTTGGTACACATTCCATTGCTGGAGACTGGCTGTCGTTACTTTGACAGTTTTGCCAGGAAGGGTGGCTGGAGGTAGGATGAGAACTGGAGAGGTTTGCTTTGTGAAATGTTGGCTTTCTGAAGACTGAGCAGGCTCCTGTATTTTTCAAGGGAGTTTGGTGGGTTCTCTGCTCTGAAAGAAGCCGTGGTTTCCATGAAGAGTGGACACAGTTGTATTTTGATGCCTTTCATGAGCCAAGAATCTTAAATGGGGCTTGGGTATTTTTCAGGGCTTCACCTTGTGTGATAAAACAACACTCCCCTGTGGTGCTGGTGTGATTAATGCCATCTGGTCAGTTTTACAGTGAAAGAAGCAAGGCTTGCTTCTTTGTTCTACAAATGTTCCTTACCTTGCAATACTCCCGATTGATGAGTAGAAGGGGAGAGCAAAGAGGAGTCACAAACTAAAACAGTGTGAATAATGGGGTTGAGGAAAACAAGCTAGGTAGGAGCAAAATAAAATAAAGTAGCTTGAATTACCAAATCACATCAACACTGAAATTTTTGCGGTCTTAAAAAAGATTTAAGTACACTGGAAAAGTGAACTGGCATGTATCCAGCAGGTAGCCCAAATTCCCCAAGTATAGAGGAGCATTCTGGTGGTCTCATTTTAAAAAATGACTACTTCACATATAAATTCCACAGTGCAAGGCACAAGCAGGCTTTCCTTCACTACCAGCTGTGCTCGTCTTTCTATTCCATTTCTCGTTTACAAATCCCTTTATATAGACAGTGTATGGGAACTCTCACTCTTTTTGTATGTGTTTCTTAAATCTCTATGACGAGCATAGAATATTGGTGGAGCAAGGGATTTACTTAGTATTTACCTATGTGCTAGATCCCGTATAAGACAAAGGCAGACTTGGTCTCTGTCCTACCTAGCCTACAATCTAAATCTAATCACACTTTTAAATGCATAATCACATTGCAAAATTTGAATGGGCAAAGACCATGAGAAAGCATTTAGTAATTAACTGCACTGGTTTTTCCTTCCTGTGAGAGTTAAAATCCACTTTTCTTCACTTGGCTTGTGCCACTGGTTTCAGTTTTGGAGAGTGTGGGCAGTGGATTCAACCAATAAGAATGTGGAGACAGCAGCTTAACGGCATCAAAAGTGTTAGTATTATGAGCTCTGTATGAATAATCTTACTGATACAGTTCTCCAAGCATACATTATCTTCTTGTACATAAAGATCAGAGACGGACTTGAATGCTTAATACTGTGGCAAGTGCGTAGTCCATGTTAAGACTTGTAGTGTGTTCCCTTAAAGTGGAATCTTTTGCACATACAGTTCTTGACACATACATGTCAGTTACTATATGAAACTCAGGGCTTGATTCCCTGCTGCCCTCACCAAGGGGCATGTCCATCTGGTCCCACAGCTCAGACTACAGGGGTGCGAACAGCAATGCGCTCAAAAGTGCTGTGCTGTTTCTCCCCCATGTGGATGCTGCGGGCATGAACTGAAATGTTCAGAGTTCACCTTTAATAAAGTCCTGTTTGAAGATGGCTATGTAAATGCAAAATAGAAACCTTTTCGTTTGCATCTGCAGCATCCACCCAGGGAAGTAACAGTGCAGCTCTTTAGTGTGCATTGCTATTCACACACCCTAGTCCAATCTTCGGGGCAGTATAGACATGTCCCTTGTGTAGTCCTTTATATCAGTACAAAGTGAATGCAAAGCAGGTTTAAAATGCTACCACTCTGACTTGGTCATGCTTTGCATTGGTATAAATAACTACACATGGTAAAGGGCTACAGAGAATCAGCACATTAACATTAATGGATGGAAGCTCTGAGCCAATCTTTTGAAGGCTTCCGTTACAAAGAGTTATGCAGACAACGAGCCTGTCATACAGCCTGTATGACTGGACAAGGAGGAGGAGAACAACATTCACATTTATAGCAAGTACAAAAACAAAACAAAAAAACAGCAGAATAGAGCTGTCAAGGTACAGACAAGATTCAGAGAACAATCTTAAATGTCCTTAAACTTTATATTGCAGGAGTAAAGGATAGTTTAGTTTTCGGCTTTGGATAAATGTTTACACAACGCTGCTTGCATTCAATCCCATGCATGCCTTGCACTAAGCTCTCTACTGCACACAATAGCTAAATGACAACATGCCTGCATTTACCTGTGAATTACAGTAGAAGAGAGTTCACACAATACACCAAAATAAAGTTGGAAATCTCTTTTCCCCCTTTGTCTCCCATGCTTCTGTTTCTGTGAAAGCTGATGCTATTTGGTTACTGTATTCCGTTTGCAAGGTACACCTCTACCCTGATATAACACGACCCAATACAACACGAATTTGGATATAACTCAGTAAAGCAGTGCTCCAGGGGGGCGGGGCTGCGCACTCTGGTGGATCAAAGCAAGTTCGATACAAGGTGGTTTCACCTATAACGCTCCTGAGGACAGCGTTATATTGGGGTAGAGGTGTAATTAAAAAGAGTACTGGGATTAATTCTTTTTTCACTTCTAAACCCCCTGCAATGTCACTTACAGCCTTTTTACAACAGACACAAAGGAGAAAATATGGGTATGAGACATGGAATCAGGGATGATTCCTTTCCTAACATTTTGAAGTATAGCACCCCATTCTGTGTATTTCACTTAAACTACATAAATAATTGACAGCCTGTGAAGATCTCATTAGGAACAACAAAATCCATGTGTCAGACAAATCCAGAGGGACAATATCCCCACTTATGAATTATACAGAAAATCCAGCCAAATGCACTATTACAGGTCATTAAACAACTTGATAGCCATGCTAGTGACTGAGCAGTGAGACACTGCTATATAGGGGATCAGCATTTGAATCCTGTTCTCTGTCTTTCACAGCTCACTGGGGGTGGCAGGCTATAGAAGAGAAACGAAGATCACGTGTCATATTTTATGATGAGAAAGAAAGGAAATTTAGGCCATTAGTATAGCATGACTATGCTAGCCCATTTAAGTGTTCTGAAGGGAGTCTGATCCCAGCCTGCAGCCAGGGCTGGATTAAGGCATTAGCATTATAGACTCATGCCTAGAGCCCCGGGTGTAAAGTGTTTATATCAGAATCTTAGCTTCCATTAAAAAAAGTAAATTTCTAGCTGTCATGGTTACGAAGGAAAACTTGACAACATGACAGGATGCTGTTCTGGGAAGAAGGGTTGCTGAGCACAGATGGGGTCCAGCTATCGAGGAAGGGGAAGAGTACCTGGATATTAGTGAGGAGTGCTTAAACCTAGGTTTGATGGAGGCAGGAGACAAAAGCCAAGTCAAAAACATGGAGACCTGGGAGAAGGGTAGGAATCTAAGGGGGGGGGGGCGTGCGCATGGGCCATTATAGCAGGGACAAAGGGGAGATGAGGGAACACAGAGAAGAAATCAAATGAGGATCTTAGATGTCTGTATACTAATGTAAGAAGTAGGGGACTAAACAGAAAGAACTAGAAATACTAGTGAATAAACACAACTATGACATAATTGGCATCATAGAGACTTGGTGGGATAATACACGTGGCTGGAATATTGGTATAGAAGGGTACAGCTTGCTCAGGAAGGACAGACAGCGGAAAAAAGGGAGGAGATGCTTTGTTTATCAAAGATGTATACACTTGGACTGAACAGGTTAGACAAACACCTGTCAGGAATGGTCTAATCATTACATAGTCCTGCCTTGAGTGCAGGGGACTGGACTAGATCACCTCTCGAGGTCCCTTCCAGTCCTACACTTCTATGATTCTATGACCAAGTGTAAACAATGCTGTGATGTCTGCCTGAGTCTGCAGGCAGCCTGAAACAATAGTTCCCAGAAGAGTGAACTACCCCATACAGTTCAATATGGACTTAATTCCATGTCCCATTGCCCTGGGGGGTCCCTGCAAACACCAGGCGAGCAGAGAAATCTGTGTGGCAAGCAAGAAAGAGTGCAGTGGTCCTAGTCCACCTGTCATAGTGGATAATCCCTGAGGTAAGTACTGGGGAAACTGTCTGGAGAGAATTGAGAAGTACAGGAGTCTTAGTGCACTCCTAAGGGAAAAGCTGGAGCCACCTCCACACCAAATGGGGACCACACAGCCTAGGACCTCAGCCCAGATCTATGCTAAACACTTTTCCCAGTTTAGTAATGTCACTCAGGGGGTGTGATGTTTTACAACATTTTTATCCTGCCAAAAGCCCCTAATGTAGACAAAGTTATATGAGCAAAAGGTGTTTTTGCCAGTAGAACAAAAGCAATCTTTTGCTGATATAACTGCATCTATATTACAGGTATAACATAGCTATACCAGCAAATTGTTTGTAGTGTAGACAGACTCATATTGCCTAAACGTAGCCCTGCCTTCAGTTAAAAGATGCTGTTGAGAAATTAGCCTTGGTGCAGGGAGGGACTGGAATACTCCTG